ACGCATTTCGGGGGAAGGGTCCATAGGTCCTCGTATGGCTTGTTAACTGAGGGGTGTTACAGAGTATTTGTTAAATATAGCTAACAAAATATATATTGTGTGTCTGATTGGTCCAGATGCTACACCTTATAGTCACATTTATCAGATTAGAGCTGGATGATATTATAGTTATTTTATGACAAATATAAACAATCAAGCAGTTTAAATTTGCTGTATGCTGTAGTATATATTGCTTTTTGTGAGTGAATTGTATGTTTGTGGATAACATACATTCATATTTCTACTGCAGGAGAATTTGATTATCCTGTATAAAGTTTACTCTTCCCTACTCTGATCTCTTTAATATGGAAGCCAATTTCAGCCACATAAGAAAAACATTCATGCATTTGTACATCATAAATATAACATTGTATGTCTTAAATATGAAATAAAAGTCCAAATCAGGATTATGATCATAATTATGGCTTTTTAATGCCATAATTTTTACTTATTTCATAATTTACATTTGGTCATAATTTTGACTTTTTACTGATATAAACATGCAGCCAAGCGTATCTCATACGTCTCTGATTTATTATTTTTTTGTCTCGTTCAGGAAGAGATCTATGACAACCCTAACTCTGTAGACATCAACTCTGAGGAGTTTTCCCTCATGCCACCGGAGATCAAGCATGAAATCTTAAAAGAAATGAAGGAATTCAGCAAGAGGCGACGCACGCTGTTCCACAAACCCCCAGAGGTTGTGCTGTTCATATCATCATTACAGTCAGCGGCACATTATTATCATTTTGAACACTAATACATTCCTCACCTTATCTTGTTAAACTCTTGATCCTGGTGTCTCAGAGGTCAGGTGAGTTCTCGCAGTATCAGTTGGCGGGTCTCCTGCAGAGGAACAAACTCAACCAGCATCTGGAAGGAGTGGAGCAGGAGATGAACCAGCGCAGCTCTGGAGGAGTGGAGCAGCCGTACGGCCAGAACAAAGACCATGACATGGAGATCCGCCGTCTGGTGTCAGAGGACTCGTCACACTACATCCTCATCAAAGGTCACTGGTGTGGAAAAGTTAGAGCGTCATCTGCGCATATCTGTTGCTTAGTTTGAGCTCATCTACACTAGCATTCAATAGTTTAGGGTCAGTTAAATTTATAATGTTGTTGAAAGAAGTCTGCATTTATTTGATCAAAAATACAGTAAAAACAGTAAATATTATTACAATTTAAAATATGTTTTCTATGTGAATATATTGTAAAATGTCATTTATTCTTGTGAACAAAGCTGAATTTTCAGCATGATTACTCCAGTCTTCAGTGTCACAAGATCCTTCAGAAATCATTCTAATATGCTGATTTGCTGCTTAAGAAACATTTCTGATTATTATCAATGTTGAAAACATTTGAGCTGCTTCATATTTTTGTGTAAACCATTATACATTTTATTTTTCAGGATTCTTTGATGAACAGAAAGTTCAAAAGAACAGCTTTTTTTAAATAGAAATCCTTTGTAACATTATGAATGTCTTTACTGTCACTTTTGATCAATTTAATGTGGTCTTGATGAATAATAGTATTCATTTCTTTAAAAAAAAATTAAAATAAATGATGCTGGTTAATGGTGACGTGCAGCAAAACATTTTCAGTAAGGGTTTTATTTTGATTGTTTTGTTTTAGAATTATTTATTTAAATATTTCCATTTTTAAAATTGAACAACTCTTTTTCAGGATTCTTTGATGAACAGAAAGTTGAAAAGAACAATTTATTTGAAATAGAAATCTTTTGCAACATTAGAAATGTCTTTAGTGTCACTTTTGAACAATTTATTACATTCTTGATGAATAAAAGTATTAATTTCTTTCACAAAATTGTGTCTTACTAAAATATGTTACTATATTCTTCAGGGTCTCAGAAGAAAGCCAGCACTCCAGACAGTCGTCCGGCTCCAGCACTGTGGTCCAGCTGTCCATGGGAACCTAAAGGGAGGCCTAAAGGGAAGCCTGAGCCCTTGTGGCGGCCTGTGACAGAGTATGATGAGAACAAGCCTTCTTCCTCCACATCCTGTGCTGAGGAGGTGCTGCTGGTGTCAGGTGGAGCACCTCCCTCTCCTCGCTCCCTACAGGCCATCCAGAGCGCCATGATGGACAGCAGCTCTGAAGAAGAAGCCGTGGCCACAAGAGGACGAAGGACGGCAGGATCTGTAGATGAAGATGGACGCGTGTCGCCTCAAACTCTACAGGCCATCCAGAGCGCCATGATGGATCCCGCAGACGTCCACAAACGCAGGACGTACGTCATCATGAGCAGCTCCGAGGATGAGGATGAAGCTGTGGTTCTTGACAGAAGCGTTGTCACTGAGGTGACTGGAGTTGTAGGCGTTTCTCCCAGGACTCTGTTGGCGATACAGGAAGCTCTGGGAGACAAAGCTGTGGAGGTAATGGACCTGAGGAGCAGCTCTGATGGAGAGCAGACAGAGGAGGTTCCTGGAATCAGCATTTCCTCACAGGAAGAGTCTTCAGAATTCAAGCATCAGTCCAGAACGCCGCTTATTCTCGGTTCTGCAGTATCTGAAAGGCAAGAGGAGACGTGTGAGCCACAAGATGCTGCGGTACAACTTCCTCTAAAGCAAAGACACCTTAATGCTTCCTCTGATGACAAACCTGTGAATGCAGACCGAACAGATCAGATGGAGGAAAACAAAGTGAAAAGTGAAGATGATGAGGAAAGCAGCTCTGAAGGTACAAATACGCACAGACACTTCATGTTTGTGCTTCTGGTACAGAAATTACAGCTTAAAGTAGGGATTCCCAAACCTTTGAGATAAAATATTTTCTTGAAGCCCCTTTGAGATTTTAAGTTAGAATTTCAGTAGCTTAACGACACATTTGCAGGTTCACAGTTCTCTTATTCCAGTTTATGGTCACGACATGCATCTTAATTAATAAATTATTTGATCTTTTTTCTAGTAAGTGTTTTATTATGATTGTTCTTTTAATTTTACATTTTTATAGTCAAAAAAGTTTTTATTATTTTTTATTTTAGAATTATTTATTTAGTTTAAAAATTATATTTTTTAATTATTATTTTTATTACGTTTTATTTTTATTGCTTTTATTTTAGAATTATTTACATTTTTATGATTTAGTTTATTTTAAGTTTGCGTTTTATTTTGATTCTTTTTATTTTAGAATTATTTATTTTAATTTTTCTAATTTATTCAATTTTTAGTATTTTATTTTGATTGGTTTTGTTAGATTACATTTTAGTTCGATTATTTGTAGTTTCAATGCTATCAGTCATCAGCTGTGAACCGGTGTGACAACCCCTGTGGTGTAGAGCAGCTACAGTGCGGGATCCCGGGAGAATGATCAAGCAAACACAGAGAGCCAGTGTACTACCATAGCATTCTCAAGTTTATTAGTTTTTACATTTTAATAATTAGCCTTTCATCAACTCACAACCCCTGGCTGAAAGGATGTTTAGATGTTTTTATTGGTAAACAAAAACTGAGTCATTTGAGTGTTTCATACGTGTTTGTTTGGTCTCTGCAGAGAGTTTTATTGAGGTGTCTGATGCAGAGGAACCATCTGAAACAGAAGAATCTCACGTCAAAGCAGAAGCCGATAAAAGCCCCTCAGAAGAGAAAGCGGAGGAGAGAGCAGAGGAAGAGGAGAGCAGAAAGGAAGAGTCCAGCGTCCAGAGCCCAGATAAGAGTGAGGAAGTCAACAAGTCCATAGATGAAACTCCTCCTGCTGCAAGCGAATGGGATCACATCGACACGGTGCATCTCAGTTATCACACTGAATCCTTGTAGTTCTGCGCAGTGATTATGTGCTTTATAACACATCAGTGTGTGTTGCAGGAGGAGCTGCTCCAGCTGGACAGAGAACTGCAGTGTGAGCAAATGAGCTTGAGAGAGCAGCAGCAGCAGCAGGAGCGCAGCAGCACCACGGTCACCGGACAGATGTACCAGGAGAGCCAGGTCAGCATCCTTATACAGAACATATGCTAGTGCAACACAGGGTTATTATAGTTAACTAGATTTTCTAAACGGGGCAAATTAACATGAGAGTGCAATCACAAAAGCGCCGATGAGACTGTAAAGTTCTGCTGATCTACTACTGACAAATAAGCAAACTAAAGAACACAGACACAGATAATTTCCATAATGACCCATGCAATCTACCAAGAGCAGCACAAATTAACATACAGCTGATGATAATCATGTGTGGGTAATCTACTAACAACACAGGCACAAAATAGGTTAAGTCATGTTTTTTTTGCATGAAAGGCACAATATGTAATTTTTCGCCGCTAGACGGCGCGTATTCAAAATAAACAGAGCCGTGACTGAGTGTGGAATCATGGGAGTTGTCTTCATCCCCACAGCCAATGCAATCCGACGGGACTCGGGCAGAAATCATGTTCATGGATGAGCTAATGATTTATTAACGTAGTAGAATGAAGCAGGGTGAGGCTGAAAGCCGTCGAAGCGAAACGAGGCTGCTGAACGAGCGTGACACACGGCTCGAAAGCAGCGGAGCTTTTATTATGCCACAGTCGACCGCTTCCGCTCCTTCCAGTCGTGCTTATGTGGGGGGAAAAAAGCAGCGCTGTTTTATCATACTAGATACGTTTGAAAGTTCTGTTATAATGCTACTCTGTGCAGTCATCACCGGTCTAATAAAACGCATAACATATTAAAGCGTCTTTGGTGTTTTCATGTTTTCCACAAAACAAAACCAGAAATCGAGGGGCTATGACGTCATTGGCAGGCGACTTTTTGGATATTTTAATAAAACAATCTTACATATTGTGCCTTTAAATAATGACAAATACCAGTAAACTGACTAGCGCAAACCTTAGTAAATCACCTTGCATGATTTATCAATATACTCTCCTCCCAAAAATGTCTGAAAGGGAAATTCCTACAAAAACTCCTCCATTTCTCATTTTAATTTAGTTTATCTTGATGTACTAAAATAACTAATAAAAGCTATATAAACATGTTTAAAAAATACTAAAAATGGCAAAAACACACAACAAAATTACTAAAACTAAAATTAAAATGAAACAAACTGATTCAAAATATTTATAAAACCATAATAGTATCTCAGTGATACTAAAATAACACTGGTGCACCATTCACAACACAAAACCCTTTCCAATCCAAACAGAGCTCTTTCAGCTGTTGATTACAGCTGCTTGAATTCCTTTTTAGAGTTGGTTAAAGTCATGATTGTAAACACTGATATTATTACACATGGATATGTTGTGTTATGACACGATTCTTCTGCGTTTGCGTTTCTTGCATTATTGACAAACTATTTTCCTGTTTCACTGTAAAGCTGCTTTGACACAAGCAGTATTGTATAAAGCGCTATACAACTGAAGGTGACTTGACTTGGTCTGTGATCAGGGAGGTTAAAGAGGGAATTTCACATTATTATTGTCAGTCATATTATGTGTGTTCATGTTCTCATCTGTGAGTTGGCTGTGAATCCAGTATGACAGCTTTATAGCTGCACTTATTCATGTCATTTAACGTGTGTGTGTGTGTGATGGTAGCAGGTGCGTGTGAAGTATCTGGTGTAAATCCATGTGTGAAACTGATCATTCAGTGTTATGAGTTCAGTGAAATCATATCAGTGCTGACTGGATAAATAGTCTTTGTCCTTTTTTCCCAGAATGGTTCAGCTGGATTAGAGGAGATTTATCGTTTTAAACCTGTCAGCTCAGTTTACTTTACATTACATTTAGGAGTAGCTTATCAGTGGTGACTGTGTCAAGGTGATGTCCATATGGCAGAAATGTACGGTAAAAATCATGCAGTTAGTTAATGACATGTATTGAAACAAATGGTGAACATTATTAACAGCAATGATTACATGTTGCGATCAAACTTATAGGAAAATTTGGTAATTTTGTGTGTTGGTTCAGGGTTGGTTCATTCCCATCCCGTGGCAGAAACAGAAAAGCAAATAGAGAAAAATAAGCGTAGCTGCTGTTCAAACCAAGCAAAGAATGATAATGTGCATTTGATCAGACATAACTGGAGTACAAGGTTATTAGAAACATGTGATTGCTTGGCTAAAGAGAGAGAGTTTTGTGACCTTAAGGAGCTTGATGGATTGTAGTGTGATAGAAGGTTATATAGCAGGTTATTAGTGAATTTATCTTTAGTGGTTGAAACAATAGTTCTAATAGCTTTAAAAAAAAAAATTAATGGAAAAAATCGTGGATTAATCATGATCAGATTTTTTTCTAGATCCTGCATTAAATTTATAGTCTTTATAGATTGTACAATACAAGTACTTCTACCATTTAAGTGGGTAGAACAAAAGGCCATCACAGCAGTTATATAAGATTTGACTCGTCAATATGTGGGAAGCGGTCCTGGCACGATAATCCTCGTCGCGTGCAATGTGCTGCGTACCGCCTTGATCAGGCTCTTGAAGTCCCTCTTCAGAATCTCCGTCTGCCGCAACTTGATGTTGTTCACCCCTGCGTGAAGCACGACAGCTCCAATGCTCTCGTCACCCTTCAGGATTGCGGGTATCTGCACAGAAACATAGAGAACACGAGCACCTTACCTTTAGCTAAAGTAGCACAGATGTGCCGGACGATGGAGTATCCCATTATAACAGCGCCCCGTTCCGTCTCACGAAGGGGAGCGAATCGGTTCCGGGTGGATCTTGAAGACTGGAGGGGGACAGGTCCTTGCCCGGGGCCTGGCTCGTGTCTTCCGCTGCTGGTGCATCCAGGGTCCGTGGTGTCCTGGTGCCGGAGTAAAGGAGACCTGGGAAGATCACGTCCTGGGTGCACGGGGCCTGTGCAGAGAAACACACGGAGTAGAGGTGGTGGGAGTATTAACAATCGCACCGTAAACCTACCTCAGACTTGTGAGCGTCGGCCCCAGATGTCTCTAGCGCGGCTCTCCACTCTCGCAGCTGGGCCTGCTTCTCCAGTAGGTCATGGCTCTGCTTCTCCATGGCCTTCAGCTCCAGCTGCACCGAGTGCAGCTCAAACATGTCCTCACCTGCACTCAAAGGTAGTCACATATCCACCATTAGAGCAAGTAAACAGTGAGTAAAACAAGAATAATGTGCGTGAATAGAGTGCAAGCAAGGTTAGCGGCAACCGCGTTGTCAATGCTAATGGGCTATAAGGTATTAGCGATCAAAATAAAACGTCTCTGGTTACTGACGTAACCTCGGTTCCCTGAGACGTACAGCGAAAGCTGACACTTTAGGGGAAACACCTTTCTCCTCAAATACTGAAGCCTTATTCGCTTAACGCCATTGCATTGCAATGGCCAATGTTGATTGAATGCACGAAAAGGTGGCTGGAAAGCGCCCTATATAAGCGGCGCTGAGCGGCATTTCATCTTATGAAAGACCTGAGCATAAGTAACACGGCATGAATGCAACATCTCAGGGAACTGAGGTTTCGTCAGTAACCGGAGACGTTCCCTTTCGAGAGGGTCACTCTACGTTGCATACAGCATAAGCTGACACTTTGGGGAACGTGCAACTTCACGCCATATTACTGCGAAGGGAGCTTGGCATAAGCGGAGACGACAAATAAGCACAGCAACACTCAACAGCAATCGCAATGCATGGTAAAGCCACTGCACACAAGTACGCATAAGCAGCACATTCCAGTACAGCTTCTCACATGAGTTAGACATGCAGCTGTGGTGCTTACTGGAATTAGACCGCACATTAGCCTGGGGAACTGTGTGTAAGTTGGCTAGGCGGTAGCAGCACCAGTGCCACCTACTACAGAAGTGGTGTTTTTATTTTTTTTACCAAAGCGACGTCCCAAGTGGGGGTACTTGACGGGCGAGGGGGGTTCAGCCTCCTCGCGCCCCATAGAAATCTAATCACATCATTCCTCCCCACTGACAACCTATCATTGTCAGAATGAACGCTGATATGACAGCTACATACTCTTGACCATGGAGGGCGTACGGCCATCATTCGAACACTTGTAGAAAAGACGAAACTACTGAAAACTGGCAGTTGACAGGGTCTTGGCCCTTTGAAGTTCAACAATTTTCAAAGGCTCTCCACCTATGAGCGTAGAGACGTCTAGTAAACGGAGAGCTGAATGTCTTCTGCAATTGCTGTGACAGCGAGCCTGATATTGGCAAACGCCGTCGAGTGGCCAGACACACAGATTCCATAAGTCTGGACTGGATGCCAGGCTGAGTTGCTGGCTTGAGAGAGGGAATCTCTCCTCAACGGAATTAGCCATTCAGGTTACGAGATCCGGTCTGCCCACATCTTCAGGCTCGTTGCGAGCATGAGATGAGGGTGAGAACGGAAACCACCTTGGCGATTATGAATGCCACGGCTGCCATATCCATGCGAAAGAGAACATGCTTGTGATGGACCTAAGTGTAGAAACACTAAAGAGACAGATGAACTGCTCCAATCACCAGGCAGATCCAGGCAGGTCATCAGGTACCTTTTCTCCATGCCTGTCCGACTATTGACCTTATTGTAGTCTCGTCTTAGTCATGGGAAAAAAGCTTGTGAACATGAACATTTTATCATCATATTTTTCATTAATGAAATTAACAGTAGTACATACTTCAGAATAGCATGACTAGTACACTAGTATACATTACCGGTGTCTTCTGATGCAAAGACACTCATGTTTCCATGATACTGAAGTGTTTTTCTTCCTCGGATGGCGTTCAGGAGCTGTTGCAAGGCATATCGGCATTATTTTTCATATCGGGCCGATAATTAAGTTTCAAGCCAATATTGGCCGATTCCATTAATGTTTCGATAATATTGTGCATCCCTACTGAGATCAATTAGTGTGCATGTATAATAGGTGGAAAGAGACACCAATGTGAGCTTGCATCTGTCTGTAGGCCTGGACAGGACCAAACTGATCAATCTGGCATATCTGTTGGGCAGTGATTACACTGAAGGCATTCCAGGAGTGGGATACGTTACAGGGATGGAGATCCTCAACGAGTTTCCTGGTGCTGGTTTAGAGCCTCTTGTTCAACTCAGGTCAGAAACACTGTAGAAAGTGATTGTCATTTTAACAGTAAAAGACACTTACTATATATGGTGAAAATTGGAAAATGGGACATTTTATGTAGTTTTACTGTGAAATACTTTTAAAATTTTGGAAATAAAAATTAAGTCATCTTATAATTTACAGTGAAAAACCATAAACCTGCCAGTTCCCTGCATGAGAAGCCTTTGATGGTATTTTGTTTAACCCTCATATTGCATTCAAAATCTGTATACTATGATCTGCCAATACCCTTTTGTTAAGTCCAGTGTAGAATAAAATTGAGCTGTACCCAGCCGATCAAGCAATTCGTTAACCCACGGCATTGGATATGCGTCGAATTTCGACACAGCAAACACCTTGCGATAATCCACACAGAATCTTACGGAGCCCTCTGTTTTAGGCACTAAAAATATCAGGCTCACCCTCATCTCTAGCATCGCCTCTAATTCAGTCTAAACCACCTTTTTCTTGTGTTCAGGTAAACAATACGGCCGGCTGCACACTACCGCCCCCAGCTCGGTCTCAGTATGGTGCTGACTGAGATTGGTTCGACCGGGCAGGGGCGAGAACACGTCTGCAAATTCAGCTTGCAATCTAGCTACATCAGTGAGCTGGGAGGGTGAAAGGTAATCTCCCCCTGGGGCCAGAGCAAGAGATTAGACTTTAGTGTTCACTTCTGGCCCGAGGTCTTCCTCTCCACTTACTGCCGTTGCCAGCATCACTGGCTACGCCTCGCTCCATTTTTTCTGGAGGTTTAGGTGGTAAATCTTACGTGCCCCACTCCTGTCCATTCAAATCATCTCATAATTTATATCTCCCACTTGCCGTGTGACCTCAAAGGGTCCTTGCCACTTGGCAAGTAATTTAGAACTAAACGTTGGGAGCAATACAAGCACTTTATCTCCCTGTTCAAAAACACGTAATCTGGTTCCCCTATTGTACAGCCGGCTCTGTCTGTCCTGGGCCTGTAACAAATTCCCCGTAGAGAGCCACTCCAAATTGTAGAGTTTTGTTCTCAGGTCCAGCACATACTGAATTTTGTTTCTGAAGGTCCGTCCTCCCAAGTTTCTCTCAGGATATCCAACACCCCATGGGGCTGACGTCCATAAAGAAGCTCAAAGGGGGAAAACCCTGTGGAGGTTTGTGGAACCTCTCGCACAGCGAACAAGAGGGGTTCCAGCCATTTGTCCCAATTTTTGGCATCTTTGTGAACGAACTTTCGAATCATGGTTTTTAATGTGTGATTAAATCGTTCCACCTGGCCGTCTGTTTGTGGGTGATAGACGCTGGTGCAAATCTATTTAACTATCCGAAGGTTCGTCCTCCCAAACCTCTCTCAGGACGATTAAATCGTTCCACCAGCCCGTCTGTTTGTGGATGAAAGACGCTGGTGCAAACTGATTTAATGTCCAATAATTCGTAAACAGCACATACTGAATTTTGTTTCTGAAGGTTCGTCCTCCCAAACCTCTCTCAGGACGATTAAATCGCTCCACCAGCCCATCTGTTTGTGGATGAAAGACGCTGGTGCAAACTGATTTAATGTCCAATAATTCGTAAAGCTCGCGTAATGAACGTGACATAAACACCGTGCCTTGATCAGTGAGAATCTCTTTCGGGATTCCCACTCGGGAGATTATCTGAAACAGGGCGTCCGCTACACTTTTCGCGGAAATGTTGCGGAGCGCTACTGCCTCAGGGTATCGCGTTGCATAATCCACCAGGACTAATGCAAAGTGATGCCCCCATGCAGATCGTTTTAATGGCCCCATGAGGTCCATGCCAATTCTCTCAAAGGGGACCTGCATAAGGGGAAGAGGGCGCAAAGGCGCTTTTGTGGAGGCCGGGGGATTCACTAACTGACATTCACAACAAGACGCGCACATTCTCGTGAATGCCTGGTCAGAAAAATCGGGTCATGAGAATGAGGTGTGAGTTAACTGCAACACTCCGCATCTGAATCACGCGGCTCTTATCCAATGCCTCTGGCTCAATCAGGCTTTGATGGATGGAGGTTTGGTTGCATCCAGAATCCACCAAAGCCCGATAAGTACCCCCCCCCCTTTAATACTCACAGGTATTTGGTACAACCCAGCTCGATCGGAGTCAGCCTGTGGTGCGTCCAGAACCCGGATCAGTGTCCCCACCTCCATCAACGGGCACCGATCAATAAAGTGTCCTGGGTACCCACAACACCAACAAGCCGGCCCAGACCTCCCCGCCGCCCTAGTGGCAGGAAGTGGTTCAAGAGATTGACGAGGAGAGAGCGAAGGAACGGGAACAGACGGTTTGCTCGAGCTGGCCGGGTGGGGGCAGGGCTCTCAGCCCAGCTGTAGCCTCAGGAGCCAGACAACCCCTCTATCAGCGTTGGGCTGGAGGAGGGAGATTCCCCTGGGACCTAGAGAAAGGGACAGGTTTAGAGGCAGAAGGAGAGGGGAAAGTGAAAGAGACAGACGGCAGGGATTTGTCGACCCATAGCACGCCACCACCTCGTCCTCCACCAGTTGAATGGCCAGGTCCAGCGACGTCGGGCAATGGCACTGGACAAACTGCGTGGTTGTCTTTGACGCAAAATGAACTGTTCCAGCACCACCCAATCAATGATTTGCTCGACGTCGGTCATCCAGCACCGGAACAGCTCGCGGTCCTCCTGCTGTGCCTGGACGAGGGCCTGGAATCGACGTTCGTAATCTCCCCTCATGTCCAGTAGTGCCTGATGGTGTTCCTGGTGGAGTCCCGCAAGCGAGTGAATAATCTCCGCAAACGGCAAACTTGACAGGGGCTGGATGATAGCGGCGGCGTTCCTTCTTCCTTCCCAGGTTTCGGCACCAGATTGTTGAGGTTCAGAAGATGGAAGGAAGACGACAGGGTTGGCTTGCTGAGACTCATGCCTTTATTAAATGAACAGGTGATACAAAACAAAAAGTCCAGTTTCAAAAAACAACCACAGTCCAAACAATCACTTCTTTCTTGGCATTCCACGGCACTCAGCCTTGATCTGCATGCATGAGCTCTCAGTCCAGTCTCTCTCTCCTTCTCGTTCTCCTGTGCCTTTTTTTCCGGTCTCTCCGCACCAATTACTGCAATCAGACACAGGTGTTCATCATTTTGCACTTGACCTACTTACTCGCTGCTTGTCCCCCAACTCTCTCTCCCGCTGCAGACCTCGCTTAACCACGCGACTCCCTCACCATAATCATTGTGTGAAATTTATAAGAGCATATAGTCTAAGAATTACCAGTATTAAACACATTGGAATGAATGGAATTCATGATTGCACAAAAACAGTGCAAATTTATGAATCCAACATATTTATTTCTATCAAAACAACATAAATATTATTTTATTATTTTAATATTATTAAAAATTAATTTTACTTCTCAAAGTTTCACTTTGAGATGAAAAAGTTATCAGTTTTTCATGCTGCAATGGTTTGTCAGTAATAGAATATAATCATGTTTATCAACAAAAATGCAGTCTCAAAAGTGTGTGAGAGACGGGAAAATGCACAAATATATTTTACAAAAGTTTTTTGGACACCAATATAACTAAGTGTTATATTAGTATTTTTGACACCTAATGGTTCTCCACACATACCCAAGTCAAAATTACCTGGGGCTGTATTCACAAAACATCTTAAGGCTAAAACTAGCTCCTAACTTGCGGATTTAGGAAAAACTCCTAAAAATAATGGGTGTGTCAGTCCTAATCTTAGGACTCCTACATTTTTGCTCTGAGTGTATTTCACAAAGCGTGAAATCAGCTCCTAAGTCTGTGAAAAGTTAAGGGTAGTCAAGAGGACTCCCAAGTCACTAAGACCAAATCACAGACCATCCTAAAATAGCTTTTGCTGGCAATCAGTCTCAGAATATAAACATTTTAAAAACATTTCACGATACTTTCCATTTAAATTGAATTATGTCCTCCTTTTCATGTGCAAGTTGGGCAAGAAGAAAACCATAATGAGCTTTTAAAACCTATTCCGCACTCAAGCGCATGCATAAAGCTTGCCTCAAATCACTAGGAAATGTAATGTGTCTGAAAAAAGAGCAAGGAGATATTTTAATCATTTATTAATAAACTAGTGTTTTCTGAGTCAGCATGGATTGGAAAGATTAAATTGACGATTCTGACCCTTTCATATGGATTATGTAATTAGAGAATATGTTTTGATTGGAATTGGTTTGTTTTAACACTTAACATTAGACATTTCAAGCTTTCTATAGATATATTTCTCATGTCTGTGACTTGTGGAAAAGGTGCTTGTGATTTTCTTTAATTCGTCATATGTCTGTTTTACCACTTGTATTATGGTTATATCAGTATATTATACAGGTACAAAATTTGATTTTACATTAGATGCAATATTAAGATTAAATCAGGTTTTTACCATAAATTTATAGTTCAGTCGTGTAAAACCTAAAATGTTGCTATAATAATAATAATAATACATTTTATTTAGTATAGTGCCTTTAAAAGAGTACTTTCTCAAAGCGCTTTACAACACAAGCAAACACAACAATCCAAAGTAATACACAAAAATACAGAATAACAATCAGTTAAAAGCAAGACAAAAATAAAAAGTTTTAGGACGAGATTTAAAAATACCTAACGAATTTGCTTCCCTGATGTCAGCCGGGAGAGAATTCCACATTTTGGGGGCATAAGATGAAAATGCCCGATCACCCCCAGAACGCAGCTGTGTTTTAGGAACGACTAAAAGACCACTCTGAGAAGATCGCAAATTGCGACTAGGTGTATAGGGAATTAATAGCTCAGCCAAGTACCGAGGAGCCAGACCATGCAGTGCCTTGTATGTTAACATGAGAACTTTAAAATCAATACGAAATCTAACCGGGAGCCAATGCAACAATTCCAAAACAGGAGTTATATGATCAACAACCCTGGCCCCTGAAAGAATTCTGGCTGCTGAATTTTGTAAATCTTGAAGTTTGTTAATACAAGATTACGGTATTAATGCTACCATAGTTTTTTACGGTAAAGTGCTGTTAAACACAGCTGCTGTTTTTACCATCAAATTTTAAACATGGGTCATTGTTTATGTGTGTTCTGTCTGATGTAGTAAGTGGTGGACTGAAGCACAGGAGAATAAGAAGTTGGTTGCCAATTCCAAAGACACAAAGGTGAAGAAGAAACTGAGGAATCTTCAGCTTCATCCTGGTTTCCCAAACCCTGCTGTGGCTCAGGCTTACCTGCAGCCCACCGTCGACCAATCAGACGCCTCGTTCGGCTGGGGCCACCCACACCTGGAGCTCATCAAAGAATATCCTTCATGTCATTTACAGTATGATAGCTTTAAACACATTCTAAGTGTCTGCAGTTTAAAATGAGCAGAAGTGGTTCTTAACCTGTCAGACATTCTGTCAGAGCCGCTTCGGATGGAGCAGCAGAAAAACTGAAGAAACGCTACAGCCAGTGCTAAAACAGCTTCAGTCTCAACAGGTGATGGACTTCAATTCTAGTGAAAAAACTAAAACTATTAAAAATAATTTTCATTTATGAAAATAAACTAACTGAAATAACTTTAAGTACTAAAAACGGAAATAGAAATTATAATATAAATTCAATTTAAAACAAAAATTTAAATGAAAACTGACAATATGAAAATAAATGCTAATTCAAAACATTAGTAAATACTATAGTAGTATATAAATAATACTAAAATAACACTGATGATTCATTTAGACCTGTTTTGTTGAACAAATTCTTAGAATTCATTACACTGCCAATCAAAAGGTTGGATTTGTTATGTTTTTGAAAGACGTCTCCTATGCTCACCAAGGCTGCATTTATTTGATCAAAAATACAGTAAAAAAATGTGAAATAGTATTGCAATTTCAAATAGCTGTGTTCTATGTAAATATATTGTAAAATGTAATTTATTCCTGTGATCAAAGCTGAATTTTCAGCATCATTACTCCAGTCTTCAGTGTCACGTGATCCTTCAGAAATCATTCTAATTTGCTGATTTGCTGCTCAAGAAAATTCTGATTATTATCAATGTTGAAAACAGTTGTGCTGCTGCATATTTTTGTGGAAACGGTGATACATTTTATTTTTCAGGATTCTTTGATGAATATAGAGTTCAAAAGAAAAGTTACATCTTAAAATAAATGACAATAGAAGAGTTATTTTATATATTTAACTAGATTACTGTATTTTTTATCAAATAATTGCAGCCTTGGTGAGCAGAAGAGCAAAAAATTTTAATTATTCCAAACTTTTAACCGGTAGTGTATACTTTGTCAGTTGTTTGGTTTCTATTATGATTAATGTCTCACTGTTATTGTCTGTCTGCAGACGCAGCTGCGCATCGATTCGTTCTTTCGTCTGGAGCAGCAGGAGAGGCAGTCGATCCATAGCCAGCGTCTGCGCAGAGCCGTCACCTGCCTCAAGAGAAAAGAGGAAGAGGAGGAGCAAGAAAGCTCTCCATCTAAGAAGGGCAGGAACGGGGCCTCACAGCCGGACGGGGCCCCTGCTACCGCGGGGCCGTTAGTGGGAGGATTCATAGGGTCAGTGATTCATCTAAACTCACCTGCAGACACACTGGACGAGACGAGAGGCGGAGTCATGTCTCTGATGTCATCGAGGGCGGAGTCAAGCAGCTCCAGCTCAGAGGATGATGCTGAATATGGGAAGGGGGTCGCTATGGTTACAGCACGTTCTGTGTTTGAGGGGAAAACGAGAGGAAGAGGGAAACGAGGAGGAAGAGGAAGGAGCCAAAACAGATTATGATAAACACATACAAAACATACTTACTGATGCCATTAGATATGCAGAGTGAGTTTACATGTGAAATGGTGTCCTGTTTTTCACTGAGCAGATTTTATAAACTATGAGCTGTATAATTAACATACTGTGTGATCATTTGAGAAATGCCAACATGAAATCATGTCAAATTACCAAAAAAAAACAAAACATTCAACTTCATCAGAACAGATCTATCAGCCTTCCAGATATTTATGGTTCATCAACATCTCAGGTCTATTGCTATTTTTCTATTTCTATTTTTTTTTTTTTACCAATTTGCAAAAGAACGGAGTTTGTTTCTTCACATAAAGAACAATAAAAGTCTGAAAAACTCATGTCTAGTGTTTTTCATGATATAGATTGTTCTAAAGCTTTACAAAGAAAACAATCCACCAGTCCACTTGAAATAGCATTTTATGGCATCTTATATTCTGGATTTTGGAATATAAAATACAGAGAAACAGTAATATTTTGAAATATTATGATATAATGTAACGGTTTTAATATTTTAATATACTTTAAAATATAATTTATTCCTCTCATCCAAAGTTGAATTTTCCTCAGCCATCACTCCAGTCTTCAGTGTCCTTCAGAAATCATTCTAATATGCTGATTTGATACTCAGTTATTATCGATGTTG